ATATTAGAAGAAGCGTTTAATTATGGGTGTTTGACAAGTAAGACGCAGCTGCACAGATGGGTATTAAAATGTCTTGCGAATGGAGACAGTTCGTTTGAAGTCCACGTGCAGGCGAAGTTGCGCTTACCCGACGGCAGCGGCGGCGGCGCCGGGCGGGGCGGGCGCGCAGCTGAGCAGCGCCGCCAGCGCCAGGGCGAACGCTGCGGCCGAAGGCGGCGGAGGAGGAGCGCGCGCCACCATGCTCGGAGGAGGACTCCCGCACGCGACGCTCGCTCGCTCGCTCGCCCGGCCCGGCNNNNCCCCGCCCGCCCCCGCGCGACGGAGACACGGCCCACCGGAGATAACAGCTTCGGGCTGGTCTTTTGGCGGAGGCTGCGCACTTGTGCAGGGCTGGCCAATTGGCGCGGCGGCCGTGTCACTGAACTTCCCGGAACCGCAATACAATGTGGTAGTACACAGGAACTGAAATGCTGTACCACGGGGTTGCTCCTCTAAGATGACGTACAACCAATCTTATAAAAATTAAGTACTCTACATTAATGAAGGGACATTTTACGATAAATAAAACACGTGTATCTTTGCACTTGTGACAAAGATTTACGTGAAAACTGACCAAAGTAAGGGTCCGAGGGCATCGTGCTGCCTAAATTAGCGAAAAAATCTTGAAACTTGTAAAATTCATTTCTATGCACATTGTCATTACATGAATGTTGTAAAACATACAGTAGATTAAATTATGTATATAAACGAGCAATTGCTCCCTTCTATTTCTGTATTTTAGAAGCCTTTTTGTACTCTTAGATTCCTTTATTTACAGCATAAAAATCACTAATTGTTTAAATCATAATATACATAGAGAAGGAAAATGAATCTTAAAGACAATACATATAAAGGTAAAGGAACAAATCTTATATATGCACATATACTATAAACAGGAAAATACATGGACTTTGGACATTTGTTCTTAAATACGATAATACTACCTATAGTTGAAAGCTTACTTTCTCTGTCAATATAATGCCCACTAAGTTCGGTAAAGCCGTAATATTTAGAAGCACACATTTAGACAAAACTTTCATGCTCAGAAACAAATAACTTATGAAACAAGTGATACACATAATTTATTTATAAATGTATTTACCCTTGTGTATTAGAAAAGTGACGAATGCTTTCTAAAAATATTGACATCGGGATCCAAATGTGCAAATTTCTATAATCATGTGATTTCTATGTTACTTATGTATGATTTATTCGCGAGGAAAGTTTCACGATGCATGCTGAGGTGAATAGAAAAATACATCTATCGTCATGCGATATCTTTATTCCTCTTAACGTATGCAATCTGCCTTATAAACAGCACATTTGAATGGAAATGCAATATGCTAACCGCCGGAACTGATCACTATCACATACTTCAAATAAGTCTATACTTAATAAACAAGTATTGGTCAAAAAAATAATTGAATTCCTTTCGAAAATTATAGAACACCGTAGTATGCGTATTTTCAAAACAACGTATCGTTTTGATTTCCAAAATATCATTAAAATGAAATCATTTGGGGCCTCTGGGAGGACTTACAGTGTATAAAGTGTTGCAGTAATGTAATACGTAGGCATAATGCATGGCTAGCCAACTGTTGACGATTTTCACTCATCGAGTGAAAATTCAATTGCTCATCACAAATGTGAGAGGAAAGAGAGCGAAGGCACGCACGCGCGGGCGCAGGCATCATTGACACTGCACCCACACGAACGTATATTTACACAAGACAAATTACAAAATTCATTAAATAACCATCGACTGAGCAGAATTTGGAGAAGCTAGAGACATTATAATATGTAGTACATTAGTCACTAAATGCCGTTGAAACATTTCGCATTTTTTGTCATGAAACTTCTGATTGTTTCCGAAAAATTTACTTTTGTATTTTCGTAGCCGATTTATTGATGATACTTGACCATAAACTTTGAAGTTAATCAATTAATATGATCACGTGAGTGGTCTGAATTTTTTCCTTGAACATGCACCAGCAGACTAGGAGGAGATGACTAATGCAAGCCGATTGGCATCGCTTGTCATGTGCTCCATCTTCTCCTGTCATTTGAAAATGAAACAAATCTAATACCATTCAGTCAATAGTGCTTACATGATTGCTTTCTTGCAATGTAGTATAGTATGTATCGGGAAATGATAAAGATATTGCCGTCATGTACCTACAATCTGCTCCGTTAAAGACGATGATCGCATAATTCTTGCCACTTTCTAGGACGTTGTGACGCCTTAGAAAAATACAGCAAAAGTGTTTAATTATTTCCATTGGTTAGATTGAAGATCAATAATTTGTTTCGAAAATGAAATCTCAACTTTCATGCAAAAATGCGCATCATGGCGCCAGTGTCATACTATATCTGCTTGAACGTGTACATCTATAAGTTTCATTAATTTTAAATAAGGTCTATTAAGTGCTGCAAAATGTTCGTAAGAACGTTTTGGGGAATGAACGGATTTAAGCACTTACCTTTCTTCCAGAAAAAAAATACACATGAAGACAGCATCAACGTTTGCTAGAAAAAGAGAGATTTTATCGACTGAACATGATAGACAGCGGCCTGGCAGCGACTAAACACGCCTTTGCTATGTAGTTAGTGTCGAAAATCCTGCAATCGTCGGGACTCCAACCTAGGACCTCCCGGTCTTAGACATTTCAGTGAGAGTGTATGCCCTGAGCCACCTCTCACGGTAAGAGCTCCTTCGGGGTCTGCGAGGGGAAGGGCATTTTAAACTTGTCAGGAGACCCCCAAAACGTTGTTTTTCGTTATCTCGAAATCGATTTTTCCACAACATTGTTTCTCTGTACTATGTATATTACTCCGTATATACGTAAGTATTCGAGAAAGTAAACACTGGTGAGGGGCACAATACTCGGTACTTTAGATGTCTAAATCTTGGAGCAAAGGGTTTCATGGCAATGTAATTGCGTCATGACGTCAACAGTTATATCATTGCAATAAATATTTGATAAGAAATGTAGCATGATATCCTCATGCTTACACTGGATGTGCAATAGCTATTCTCTACCGTTCGGACGTCATCACCAGTCTCCAATGAAAAATAAATGAAAACGAAAGGTTCTTGAAAATAGGAAGTTAATAATCAAAGAAATTAAGAATAAAGAGAAATATTAAAAGAAAAAGAACTTAAAATATATTAGAGAAAATTCTACAGAAACAATGGGAAGCCCATTTAAACGAAATGAAAACACAATCAAGTTCATTATGTTTCGCGTTAAGAATTCTTTTAAGTTCAGCCAGTCTTCATATTGCTCCTTGTATGTATTTCACGAATGTTTATTCCTACCTGAAATAATGCGTAATATTCTGTGGAGAAACATCATATAGCTGTATTGTTTCATCCCATTATTTTTGACAAACATTACGAAAGAACAATTTCAAATTAAATTATATCCCCCCTCAAATATTGGTATTCGCAACGTTTTTAGATCCTTTTTTGTTCTCATCATCAGGTTTTAATTATGCTGCGTATGAAATTTTAATTTTTATTAATATTTAAAACAATATAAAACTAAAATGATATACGCAGCAAAAAAAGACTGATGGTAAAAACAAAATATATTATTGAAACCCTGCAATCCCAAATATTTGAAAAAAAAGGATATTTTGAGTTTTGGATGACTTCTTAAACACAGACTTTTGTCCTTAAAAATATGTTCTAAAAATAGATCTCTAAGAAAGGTCAGGCATAATTTTTTGAAAATATGAGTAGTTTTCTCGTACTTTTTGCTTCAGGTAAAGGAAAATAATTCTCAAAAACTGCTCTATTTAAAAAAAATTGTTTGAATAGAAAATGACCGCTTGTAAAATAGGCTGAGGTTTCAATATCGTTGATCACACTCAATTTTCGAAAATTTCAAAAGGTGCAAATAATGTGAAAAATTACATGCTGTTGTTGGACTACTACTTAATTAATTAATTATTATATATTGTCACATCAGAAGATTCAAGATATTATGCCCTTTTGCACCAGGGTGCAGATGTCGATACAAAAACTGTGTAGAAAGGTTTCTACGCTTGTGTAACCGTTCGAAAAACAAGAAAACATTCGCAAGGTGGCAAGAGCAGACCACAGAAGAAACATAACTTGCAGAACAACCAATTATCTGGAATGTTGATTTTTTGATCGCTTTATAATTAAATTTGACAATTTTTTTATATAAGACAATTGAAGTTGAAGGTTTTAGAATTAACAGTTCTTAAGGTTCCACTAGTAGATTTGGATCCAGATTTGGAACTAACGCCGCGCCACAGCGCGGAGGATTCGACGTACTATCAGAGTTATCTAACTCCTACCATGAAGCTTTACAATGTCTTTCGGTCACTCTTTCTCTTCCGTTGATGGTCATACTAATTTTGTTTCATGAGGACGAGAATACTTCTGGTAACATAATTTTGCCAAAATCGCACTAGCTACATTGATTTCTAATTCAACTTAGCGTAGTAAAGAGTGGAGGTAGGGGTTACGGAGGTCGAGAAGACCTGCATTTTGTACTTTTATAACAAGTTGCACATGTTTAAAATGTTGATCATGTTAAATTTTTAATTAATTTAACGACTTTAAATAATTAACAAAATGCAATATGACATGTCTGTGATGGCACTAATTTAATACCCTCCCTTTCATCTCTTGATTAATGAAAATTACTTAAAGCCGCCTTCCCGTACTTTCAAGTCATTCCCGTGTTTTGAATCCAATTTAAGACATTAGTGGAAAAAGTATATTCGTATTCACATCAAATTATTTAATGCAATTTATCAATATTCCAAGAGTAAGTTTTGTAAAACATTGCCCGTAGTCTCTGGAAGATTCATTCCTTTGTTCTGTCAACGCCTACTGAATACAATAGCTTCGTGACATAGAACGTATTTAATGATCGCTATATCTCAAATATGATGACTTATGAAAATTAATTTGTGTTTTACAGATACTTCCTCATTATGAAAACGATGACATTGGGGCCATTCTGAATAATTTATATACAGCCGTTACTTTGTTCGAAGGAGTGGGTTCATGGATCGCTATAAACTTCAAAGCAAGATTGGTAAGTATTTGACCTATAATAGCTCTAATTCTTATAAGTAGGTGTGATCCGCTCATTAAATGAACGATCTTACATTCCTTTTCATTACTTTAGAGAAGTTGCGGAACTACACCATTCTTAAACCTTTAAAATGACTGCATTTACTCTCACCATCTTTAAAAGCACTTTGATTTTTTATCTTTGACATTTCTCTTCAAATTGGATTGTTCGATATTGAAATATATAAGAAACGATGCTGAGGTGGGTGTTTTCAATAAACTACGCACAACACATATTATTATGCTAGTTCTAAAAGCCTGACCAACTTGAAGTTTAGCAACATTCAAATTTTTCTTGGGTATAGTATTCGATACTTTTACTTGTACATATTGAAATAACTGATTTGATGAGTTTCATATTGTTTTGAGGAAGGAATAGCAAATAAAATGGTTGTGATGGCATTCAATTTTTTGAAATTTAAGTAAAATATTACTATATTACTATATATAATATACTATATATAATTAAAATATTACTATATTATAAATGAACACAATAAGAAAGTAAATTTTATTCTCACATAACCCTCACTTAAAATATATTATTTCCAGATCTTATTTATCTCAAATTTTGTATAAGTACTAGTGAAAACAATGCAAGTAATATGATTTACATCGCAATATTCTCATATAATGCGCATCTTACGTAATAAAAATTTCTCAATGCTTTCGATGCCCCAATTTCTCGGAGGTCAAACCGATAGTAATTGGACTTTTTACGAAACATTTCTATAAGAACGTCCATGTCAACACAAAGACTGGGTAGAGCAATGCCTGACAGTTTTTGAACCCACTCATATTTAGCGCAAAGTGTAATGGAGGCACCGTGAGTGACTAGAGCTGCTACTTAGGAAGCTGTCTACAACCTGGAGTAGATTTTATATTTAACGGACACCTTTTGTGGTGAGCTGAGAAGGTAATATAATAATACCAGCAGTAAGAAGGGCGTGCTGGTTTGCTGCCTCCTTGCAGGAGGGGGGCGCGCGGTGATGTGGCGGTGGACACGCGAGCGCAGCGGAGGGGCGGTGCGGGGCGGGCGACGCGGGCGAGGCGGACGAGGCGTGGCCTGAGCGCGGCAGCGGCGGCCTCTGCACATCACGATGGTGCTGCCGTTGCTCCTCTTGCTGTTCGTGGTGGGCGGCGAGGGTTCCCACGCCACCCAACCTCCCACCTCCCCGGGCCACCAGCTTCCCAGTCAGTGCACGCAGCAGAGCAAACATCCGCTTCTTTGCTTAGTCACAGTGTCGATCATGCATTGCATTTATTATATATTGAAAAGTGAACGTTTGTTGGGAGTGAAAAATTGCTTTGGGAATGCTGCAGTATTTGCGAACATATTGAAGGCTACTTTCAACCGAAAATAAACATATCATTTACGTGTTAGAAGTGCAGAGTTCTTTAGTTGGCCTGAGCGACGTCTAAAGGGCTCTCTCCCAACTGCATATATTGGTCTAAAGGTTTCTATTTGTGTCTGAAATTAGGACTTAATTACCTTGTAAATATGCAATAATGCATTTTCTTCAATATTATAGTTTTTAATTTTAACTGTTTTGTAAATTATATGCAACAAGAAAGGTATTTCGGATGATTTTGGTATCAAGAGATAGAGAAATGTTTTTTCAAGTACACTTAGAGGCATAAGTTACCAAATGAAACTCGGTTAATTCGAAAGTCCTCAAAAGAAACTCTCCTTCGAGTCTCTTGAAATCTCCTTTTCCTTGTAATCGTAGAAGTAGAGGTAAGGGCGAGTTACTATTTTGTTAGTAACGCAGAAAATAAAATCTGTAGTTCGTGTACCGTTGCAAATACATTTTCTATACATCGGGAACAAAAATGTCTAGTTTTTCAAATTTATCTCGCGCTTTTTTAAAATTTTATTTTTATTTATTTATTTCAAACTTTTACTTATCGTTTAACTATTTTTAGTTAAAATTATGGGAAGGGATTCTGGAACTCAAGAAAACGTGCGCAGAGGATCTTCTCCCCCATATGTCACATACAGTTTTTACTGTTTTTTGACTAAATAAATCTAAATATAAGAACATGGAATTACTGCAGATAAGATGGTTTATGTGTCCTCATATATTGTTCACATTATAGCATCATTATATTCATTTTTCATTACCCTAGAAAACAAATATAAAAATGTTTCAGGCCACTAATACAAACTACCATATTTTTCAGACAGATGACGCTTATACCAACAGAAAAATATGAAATTACAGATATGCTTTTGAAAGTAGCGTTATGGATATAGATCTCATGAGATTTTGAAACGACGGTTTGTGACCAAATTAATAAATGGAGACATCTTCTTTTGTTGGATTCTTGAACACCTAACACAGGTGTCAAATATATACAATTTGACAAATCCTCCAGGCATCGATTGATCGAGAAATCTATTCTTGGAAAGTGTGCCGGCGTAATTGAACCCACAATTGTTTATTTTTTTCAGCCTTGCAAACCTGTGGTGACATTTTTACGGAAGTAGTTTTACTGATTCAGAGACAATCTTGGACACACAGATTACATCCCGCGCTTGAAATCGCATGTGGTTGAATTACGCTAGCGCTCGTTCCAGGAATAGCGTTTTTGATAAATCGATGCCTGGCGGATTTGCCAAATTGAATATATTTGTCATCCGTATTCGGTGTATAGTATGTGTATAGTGTATAGTATGATTTACAAATCATTCAACAAAAGGGGATATTTCTCGGAACGGTCTTCATAATTCGATACATCACCGCACATGGCAACCCTACGAATTGTGATACAAGAAAAACATTCTAAATTTGCACACTGCACGGGCCCATTAAAAAAAGTCTTTTACAAAAAATAAGAAGAGACTGTATTTTCACCAGCTGTCATTTGCATATTGCATTATTCTGCAGTTGCTTAAAATGCCAACTGGAGAATACGGTTCTTTGAATTTGAGATCTGAAGTCACAATAGTATGGGTAAGGGATTACGGAAAATGGGATACATTGAATTCTTGAATTAAACACGCCCCACTTTTAGTAATTCAATATTTTTTCAGGATGTTCAAATGAACCAAATATTACTTCGATTATCATTCAACGGTGACCTGAATTTGATAGTTGCTTGAGAGCTATTTGTTATTACCAGCCCAACTCTTCTTCGTCGATGCTTTTCCCCCCCTTCGGGGAACAATAACCATTATGGTAATTGCTCGCAACAAGCAGTGATGACAACATTCCAAACACGGAATCTTTGGCGCGAAACAGAAGCCTTTTACAGTTGCAGGCAGAACTATTCGTGCTTATTTTATTGACAGAGAGGCCTCGAACACCTGCGAAAGCTATAATAACAGGGAGCGAAATATTGACAGAAAGGTGCGGAGGCATATGGGTTAGAAAACGGAAACAGTTCTAATGCTTCCTCTCATTAACGCTTTGGATGACCGTGGTGTCAATGCTATTGCCTATCGAGAGCGGCGACCTGGACGCCCGAAGCAGGACGTTTACTTTGATTTTCCAGTGGTGAAGATTTTTTTGAAACACTCTATTGGCTGATATTGTAACTCATACCCCCACACTATGGGCACTAGTGCTACCCATCGGCGAAGAAAAGTTATACTTGTGCGACAAGCGCGCACTCTGTTCGTTGCAGCCTTCCTATTGGCCGGCCCCCGCTTGTTTTAGACGAAGTGTGCTTCGAGCTGTTGGGGTGCTTCTCGATGGAGTACCCCTGGTGGACCGTGACACGCGTCGTGCCGCCGCCCGACTCGCCCGAGCGCATAGCCACCAAGCTGTACCTCTTCACCAGGTACCGCCATTATTCACGACGGATACTTTCTAGATGATACGTAAATACACCTACTGGACACAACTTTCTTCTTTAGCAATTCTTGTATGTATAGGGTATAATATAAATAGCGTGTGTATATAAAGAAAAGGACCTGATGGGAGCGAAGGAACGAGACACGTGCAGCGCCCCTTCATCCAGGCTCTCTGTGCGAAGGAAGTTCCCCGGCGTGCGGTCTTGGGGCTGTGGAACGGAAGAGGCGCTCGAAGCGAGTGAAGCAATTGCGCTCAAATGGTATTCACTGTCATAAGTACCGAACGCGGGGATTACCACGTTGGGCGATGCACAGGAGACTGGCCGGCGAAGGCCAATGATTACGTAATTATTCAGGAGTCCGGGGAGGAAACGTCGAAACTTCGAAAATAAGCTTTAAAGACAATTTTAAGCATATTTTGTCTAATAAACTACGTGGATATTCCGAATGGCTGAGCCGCAATAAGCACTCGAAAGTTGGTTTGAAAAAATAATTTCTAGGTGAAATTTGCATTAATAAACTTAGAAATAGTCCAGAAACGTATAAATTGTTTATTATTTACAAAAGAAACGAATATATTTGTTCAGAAAGAAAAATTAAGCCAGAATTAAGAATGCAATCAAATTGCTGATTTTGGCTGGGTAAATTGGATGCCTACAAATAATTTCTTCAAACCAACTTTTTAAGTGCTTATTGCGGCTCAGCCATTTGGAATATCTACATAATTTATTAGACAAAATATGCTTAAAAGTATCATAGGAGCTAATTTTCTAATATTCGACGTTTTCTCCCCGGAAACCCTAAATACAGGCCTTAATAATAATAATAATAATAATAATAATAATAATAATAATAATAATAAATAATAATAATAATAAAAAAGATTAGTGCATGTGCAGTGGATGTTTTTTTAACTCACGCGGCCACTTATAGTTTCGCAACGAGTAAACGATCACGTGAATGGTAAGAACGCAATTTACTTCTACAAGACAGGTTCTACAATGTTTGCAAGTTCTGTTGACGTCTTGAAATAGCAAAGAACTATGTGCGATACCTGTAGATTGCACCTCGAAATCGCTGAATTCACTGAACATTTATATTTCCCAAACCGAATGATAGCGTCGATGGGATTGACTTCAGAGCAGAACTGTGCGCTAAAAATA